CCCCCCAGGCGCATAACTCGTTATGCTCCGAAGTTTGAGAGTCGCGAGCATGGTATATATCAGTTGCACCGCTGCCGAGACTCCAGGGAGGAGGCCGCAGACTACGTACCGAAGCTGGCGGAAGAAACAACGCGAAACATAACAGCAGCAGCAGCAGCAGCAGCAACAGCAGCCAGCGACTTGCAACTACAACACAGCGCTGCCGGATCTTGGCATACTACGTGCTGAAGCTGCTTTATAGAATTACACGCATTTGCGAGTATTATTACGTTACGAGCCTGCTGCTCGCTTATTACGTCAATCCCACGCAGCGCGCTATGCAAATCATAATGAATACTCGATGCGATTATACTCTATCAAAGCCAGGTAGTAGCGCTTTCTGTAAGAGTCATTGCGTTAGAGCAGCTCAACGTCTCGATCGCATTCACATTTACTTTTCAAACAAATTCACTATCTCGACTGTTGAAATAATCAAACTGGCGTTGTTATTGCGTTTCCTTCTTGCACGAGTAGCATAACGCGATGTAGCTCGGAGAGATTTGATTTGCTCGACTGTTTTTCCATCGAAATAGCAATGCCGCGGGGAAAGTGAAGCTCTCGATGGCGAGTCAGAGGGCACGAGGCAGAGAGGGAAGTAGGTAAAATATGATGGTCGCATGATTGGAAGCATTGTATTTTACTGCGGGACTGCGCGTCTATTGATGGATAGTCAAGCTGTCGAACCTGCTGAACAAATAAAAGCTCGTGCAACGAGGATACGGATATGGGTGCTGATATCGATTAACCGTACCTCAATTCTTATTCGATTGTAATAATCACAGAAATTTAAACTGTGCACACAGTTAAATAATAATTACTCGTTGTTTCTTCTAAAAGCGTCTTGCTTTTGTTTTCGACGGAAGCTCGTGTGATATACATTTCAAAAAAGATATCGTCAGTTACGTAATGTCAGTTATGTAATTTTTTAAGAGAAGAGAGAGGAAAGTTTTTTTCATATCTCATACGAGAATAATTGTAGCTTTTGGATTTCATATTTCGACTGTTATAACTGATCAATTTTACTTTTCAGTGAACTTTTCAATAATAGCACGAATCCTACCAGCAGAGAATATTTTTTTTTATTCTCGGAAATATCTTCTGATTTTCCGTAGCTTCAACAAAAATTTGACGCGAAAAGAAATGATTGAACACAGCCAACTGTTAAAAGTAATATGACGGCTATTCAGAAAATCAGAGAAAATTCATGAAACTAGTAGAGATGTTTTTTATCAGTTACTTTGCCATGAGTTTCGCGCAAAATGAACAGCGAGATATTAAAAGAATGATGAAGCGACCAATATCGCCGAAATTTGACAGTGCAGGATTTATAAGACGGAAAAATTGCAGTGGAATAAGTAGACAGGACAGCTAGACGTATAGCGAGCGAGGAAGCAGGCCCTGCAGAGCGGCGAGTCGCAGATAGAGAGAAAGGGAGCGAGCAGTGGAAAAAAGTTGTGTATGCTCCTTTGCACGGTCCGCAGTTCCTCTGCGCGTCTTCTTTTCTTTCGCGGAATAGCTTTGTTATCTGCTTTCCTCTAGGCGCTCGGCGGCGGCGGCGGCGGCGGCGGCGGCGGCGGCAGCAATGGCGCAACGGGAAGCCGCAATCCGTTCCTATCAATCTGGCGAGCGAGCGAGAGACGGCCTGGGAACACGACAAATAGATTGGACACACGAGCTTGGAGCAAAAGAACAAAGTGTGTGTGTGTACGTGTGTGTAGTGGGAGCGGATCCGCCCATGGCTTCGCTCCTCTATTTTGCTTTCGCTTATCAGGAGCGCGTAATCCGCCAAATAAATCCTATGTGCGCGCTGCGGACACTGCACTGCGGATTCCTCTCTCTCTCTCTCTCTCTTTCTCGCTTTGCCGTCCGGTCAAACGCCAGCTGCCAAACTATGCCGTATTAGACTTGATATGTGGCTGCGCCTCCGCCGGAAAAGCCTTTCGCATATATATTGGCTCTGGCACGGGCGGATTTCTCACTCGATGAATTCGCATGGCGATACCCGCTTGCTCGCAACTATGAAAAAGTTGAGCGACAGTCAGCCGACGAGGACCGCCGCGTAGAGCTCGCGAGTGCAAAAGTGCGCTGTCTCGTTTCGTCAACGGACTCTCCGATCGAGCTTCGATGCACGCGTCGCTTCTCGAGGGCACCAGGGGCCAACGCGACGGCCGTTAGCCCGCGGCTTTTGCACACGACTGTCGCCGACTGCGTTGCAATTTCTCAAGTCTTTCGACGCTACCAGCTAGATACCTTGAAAACTCGAGCCTTTGTAACTGAGATAATAGTGGAGAAAGAAAGAACGAAGGGGGCAGGATTGAAAATACGAGAAACTCGAGGCCGACGCGTGGAATTCCGACTCGACGAAGCATATTAGCCAACGATTGTAAGTTAAAGATTGGCGACATTGCGACAGACGTACGCAGGTGGAGAGGTAACAGAATCCGAGCGGCTTTGGTGGCCGTCGGCGGCAATCGCGAGGCGAGAGAAAAAAGTGAAACGAAAGAGGGAAAGGGCAAATGGCTCAGCGCAGCTGCTGCAACGCGCTGCGCCTGTGCATACCTCGCCTTCGTCTGGCTCGGGTAACCCTAGCGTGGAGTCAAGGAGCCGTTTGAGTGGGGCAACTCGATACCAATCGATTTGTACTTTACTCTTATACTTGTAGCCTCGTTCATTTTTTTCCTCCCGAGCTTAATGTTTTCCGGAGCCGCGCATTTCGCGTTCAGTCGACGCGTTGCTCCTCCAATTTCAAACTCGATCGAATGCCAGCGTCCGATTTAGATGTACTGCATACAGCGCGAGAGATTTCGAATTAACTTGCGCCATAGCGGCGTTCGTTTAGCGTGCAGGGTGCTCGAAGTCGCGAGAGGGAAAAAAAAGATACGGCGGCGCGCTTGGGGTGAGGCACACGTCATTTAAGGACAGAACTCAACGAACTTTTTCTCGCTCTACGCGGCCCGAGTGCAGCCGTGAAATTTCAATTTGAGCCCAAAGCAGCGCGGATATAACTGAAAACTGGAGTCTGCTGGCAGAGCAGACGCTTAATCTTGAAAGTATTTGGCACATATCCCAGTAGAGTAAGGACGCTATAATCATGGCGAATCCTCCTTACTTCTAGTCGCTGGCGGAGCGAGACGGATCACTTACTCGGCGTTAGCCTCCACCTACTTATGCGCCAGGTAGACGAAGAAGCTTCTAGGGTTGTAAAGGTGAAATATCATCGGTGACTGGCCAAGCCGGCCAACTATTTTTACGCTCGACACATCGCGACAGCCTCTCGTGAGTGAGCCATTCTCTTTCTCTCTCTCTCTCTCTCTCTCGCAGCTATTCAAACGAGCCTGTATAATAAAACGATCTCGGCCAAAGGAAGGCTTCCGCGTTCGCTCGCCGAAATGCACACTAAATCAATCTACTCCCTCAGGTACCACCCCAACAGTTCTCTCTCCCTCTTCGCCACTCTCTCCTTTCCACTTGGCCACCCTTCCTCGAAATGAGTAGCTTGTTCCTTTTTCGGCGCTGCTTTTTATGCCTCTGCCTTCTCGACCTTATTACATTCTGGAATGACTTTCGCCCGGAGAAATTTTATTGAAAGTATTATTGCGTCGCCTAGCTCGCACACGGAAAATATGGATTGTCTTAAATGTAATTTTGAGGGAAAAAATCATGTCGCATCGAATTGGTGTTTTCTATCCAGACAATTCTGAGAGTACTTTTCTCGCAAGAGGCAGACGGCCGAAGACGCTCCGGCGCAAGAGAGAAAACTACGGCGCGGCTATTATTTGGAGAGAGAGATAAATAGAAGCTCGGCGCGCCAATTACTTAGGCACGCGCCAGTGTTTACCATAAAGTTAATAAGCCATTGAAAGTGCAAGCATCCCATCAGCATTTCAAATTAAACGCCGTAATTTCCCTTTTCATCCGCTACTGGCGCGCGCGGCGATACACACAGCCAGCGAGCAGCCCATCCATTGTCTGCTCACAGCCTTCTTCGAGAAGAATGGCTCCATACCCCCCCCCCCCCCCCCCCCTGATAGATTTCGTATTTAAGGAAAAATAAATCTCTAACCCAAGTTTGCTCCGCTCCTCCTCCTTCTGACAATGAGCAACAGACGCCGTGGACGACGAGTTCGTTTTCCCAGACCGAATTCAACTTTTACGAATGGCCCTGCAGGCAAAGGCCGCACGGCACTCATATTGATTTTCCATCGCCGGCAACAAAAAAAAAAAAAGAAGAAGTCGTTCCCCCAGCGCGAAAGTTATGCGCGAGCTCGCGCGCTCACCTTTAAAATGCTTCGATTTTTTCTAATGGCCCGACTTCGGCTCGGCATGCAGAAAGCGTCTCCGATCCGTGAACTGTGCGGGGAGATCGGCTTTTGACTTCGCCAACTTTGCCGCGGCTTTTCATGTCTTTTTTTTTTTCGTTCCTTCTGTGCTCCCCTTGAAACCACGTTTCAAACTTTCTTATCCCCTGAGTGAGAGTTGGAATTAATGATAAACGGGAAGTATTGAAAGTGAGCATCTGATCCTCTGAAGATTCAATTTTAAAATAACATCAATTCTTCCTGTTGTTATTGTCCCGAGAGAGTTTTTAATAGGAAATAAAATATAATTCAGAAAGATTCGATGTCGACGTTGCGTTGGATATAGAAGTACTATTGTAAAAGCCAGCCGAGCCGTGAAGTTATGTCACTTTTATGGTAAGAGTATACTCTATTGCAGAGCTATTCAACAGTGAAAAAATATCGAAAGTATGAATTTGATAGCTCGATGCCTTCTACTGTTCTCAATAACGACAGACACATGCAACAAGCTGGAGGAAAGAGTAATCCATTTTAGTTGTATACGAATGTGAAGATTACTTGGTGTCTTTATCAAATGTCCTAGTGTTCTATCTCTTCGTATCCTGGAATAGCATATCCATAAGGCGTGGCTAGTCGTTATAAAAGAGTTCACAAGTCTCGGCACAGAGTCAGCCATATTCGAGCAATCGCAGTTGTTTAACGTACAAAGATGATTTACAAAGTTGGTGCCACTCTTCGTAAAGTTTTGTTGAAGCTTTTTTTCTCTATTCACATGATAGATAATTATCTAAAAGAGCATTAAAATTAATCAAAGTGCTATAGTGCGAATAATATCAATTTTAGTGATAATTTTTATTTTTCATACTTCTCAATAAGACTATGAAAATAGAACGACACGATAACTTTTGTTTGTAATGTTATATCCAAAAAATGAATGAGGAAAACTTAAATAAATTGAAGTAATTGCAAGTGATTTTTAATTTATTAAAATACTCAAACTGTTAACTTTTCAGTGTATAATTCTCAGCGGAATTGTGGCCGTAACCAGTACGGCTTTCATCGATTCACATGCTCACGGGACTACTCTTGCAGTCGCGCACCCAACGGCAGCTGTCGTTAACAGTGATAACCCAGGCTCCCCGCCAAACTACAGCTTTAGCTACAGTGTCTCTGATGGACTTACCGGTACGTCTGACCAAATCTTTACTTATCTACTTAAGTCCTACGATCTATTTGATCTTTAAATTTGTAATATAGTTTGAAAATAAAAATCTATAATTATGACAATCAAACGAGAAAAGCAGTTATCGGGTTCATGTTATAGGCGACAACAAAGCACAATACGAAACGCGTCAAGGTGATGTGGTCCAGGGAAGTTACAGTCTAATCGAGCCCGATGGTACTCGACGTACTGTTTCCTATGCGGCTGATCCTTTAAATGGATTCAATGCCTACGTACAAAAAGATCCACGTGTCAGCGTTAACACTGCCATTTCAGCTTCACCAAGTTTGACTCGCATTTTGCGACCTAATCCGATCGGTCACGTTGGACAAATTGTCAGTGAGGCCGAACAACTTGATAATATCAATCAAATCAATCAACTTGGCCAGCTTAGCCAGATTGGTCAGACTGATCAAACTGGGCAGATTGGAAAAATTGAGCAGATCAATCAGGTCAGCCAACTTGGTCAAATTGGACAACTCAATCAAGCCGATCATATTAATCAAATCACTCAGCTCGGACAAATAAACCAGCTTGGACAGATTAGTAAAATTGGACGGGTCGACCAACTTGGACAGGTTAACGAACTCAGTCATATCAATCAACTTGGACAGATTGGTCAACTAAATCAAATTGGTCAGATTAACCGAATCAATGGCCACATCGTGAGACCAACTTTGATCTCACCACCTATATCTGGACGCCATACTATTGGTGTTTTAGTGAGGCCAGATATTCGCGATGATATTCTTGGAGTGAGTATTGTAAGAAACTAATAATTTACAGAATAGTTTTTATCCTCAGAAAATTATTTGCTTACAATTAGCTTATACATGTAAACACTGAACTGACATACTAACTTTTGTGATAATTTTTACAATTCTGTTAACAACTTATAACTATACCATGATACTATTTCAGCGTCGCCAATCACTGATTCAAGGCAATCAATTGTACCACGAGTCGGCAGTAATCTCAGCACCTTCCGTAACCTCGGCTAACGTTGTTTCGACTCATCGCCAAGGACGACTTGTGGATTTTCAACTCGATAACATTAATAACATTCCTTCCTCTTTGGGTTATGGAGTCCGCCATGGAAATTCCATTATAAATCAACAGCAGGTTATTGCAAATGCTGCGGGTTACAGTACTAACGACGAATACCTTTCTTAAACACCTATTCGAGTTTTCGTATTGAACAGATTACCAGAAACTAATAGAATGTTTCCAACGGGATATCCGGAGAAAATATACGTAGCTTAAACATCGTGATAACTATTGAAACATAGGAAATGGTCAGATAACCATTGCAATTATATAATATTACCGAACAAACCGCACCATATATCTGCACGTTGGTCATCAATTGATCTTCAGTATTAAACAGTTATTTCATTTGAAATCAAATTTGAAATAGCTAAAATTCCATTTGATTTTCCGTTAAAAAAGATCGTTTTCGTTTCATTTGCTCGTTGAGAGCAATTCTCCATCAAATATTTACAAAACTCAGCACGGTACAATTTTTCAGCATTGAAAAAAAAAAGAGATCAATGAATTAAATAATTGCACTCTAACTAATGCACCTGGAAATATCCACATATCGTACTATAATCCAGCCGCCATGTAGTAATAATAACTTTTACATGGTGTATTTTGCAACATTTTACTACTCGGTTCTATACAATAATACAATTTCGATAAACAAAAACAAATCCACAGATACGAAAGTTTCAAATTGAGAATCGCTTCTCGATTTCGAAGCAAATAAAACCTCTTATTGATAATGAACTTATTTATACACTGTCATCAATATCATAATTGTTGGAACATTTATATATGGATTTTCTGTGAAATTCCCGTATAAATTAAACAGTCATACATATTTACGAATTATATTCCAAATTCCGTATTTTTATAATTATAAATATTACTATATAAGTTATGTTAATAAAATATCAATATCTTCAAAATTTTATGTTATTTTATTATTTCACTTAACCTGTATCTATAAATACGATATATTCAATGTCGATAAGTAATATCGATTATGTATACAAACTTATTATAATATATAGATTATGTATCATATGTATATGTATCATTATATATATGTTCGTCTATGTTTAAACCGTGAACAGTCATATTAACATTACACATATATAATTTCTTGACAACAGTTATTTTTGTAACAGTTCCATTTAATACAAACAACCAAGAGTCTATGTGCTAAAAATTATATAAATATAATTAAGAAAGATCATTAGATCAAATCTGATTATTTCGAATTCCCTTGGATAGAAAAGGGACCAGGCACTTATTTGTTTTTCACTTCAATAACTAAGCCCACACTGCAGTGCGTATAATGAAGTTGGATTCATGCTACAGTTTTTACTTTAATTTCTTATCGATTTACATTTTTGCACAAAGCTTATTTACAGGGTTCACCGATTCTAAAAAAGACAATATTTTACTAGGAAAACGTCTCGCGGTACGGCGTTCGATTTGTCTTTGCGCCGAAATGCAGCACTGCTACATTCAATTAATATTAAAACTAATTGTGAATTAATTGATTTTTTTTTTCTAGAGGCTGAATATCAGAAACGCTACAAATAAAGATAATTCATATGAAAGATTTTATTTATCTAAAAAGCATTTAATGATATTGAGAAAATTCAATGAATACTCGTTAAAGGAGAAAATTTGATAATGGTTATCTCCAAGAGAAATATTTAATGCCTCAAATGTATAAGAAGCAATCAAAAATAACATCAGTGACAAAGTAATATGCTCCAAAACTTAAGTTTCGGGCATCTCGTACGCATGCCATATTGCGAAGCAATCAGCGATGATTTATGCCGTAATTGCGAGGTTTTATGACGAGGCAACGAGGGAGGCCGCGCGTATAATACCCGCGAACAACCTTCATCTTGTTCAGTCTTGCTACTTGCAAACCTATACAAAAACCTAGGCCAACGACTAGATGGTGTGCAGTTCGTCCCCGAGAAAAGCTCATTGTTATTCCAATGGCGTCTTTAATAAACCAGCCGCTCAGGCATTCACCTTAACGAACTTGTATCTTCGAAAGTTTAATAACAGTGGATTTTTTAAACATTTTGAATTATATTACAACACTACAACATATTTACTCTATTAATCTATAATATTAATATAATATAATATAAATTATATATTATAATATAACATAAATTATAATATAATATTAATTATAATATATATTAATCTATAAGTTATATACCTTTCTATTTGTTTAACGTCCATTCCTTTATTCAAACATTTTTTTGTTTTTTAAAAGTTCGATTCCAATTGCAACATATAATAACGGTTTATCACAAGTGTAGCACAAGTTCATGAACGTTATAAATATTATTGATTAATGGAAAATATTATCTTTACATTTTATTATTATCCATGCCAAGAAATTTTACAAAGAATATTCATTCTAAAAACAGTATTATTTGCATGTACAAAATCTGTATATGTACACATTCAATATATAACAGGTAAAAAAAGGGTACACTAAAAAACACACGTAATAATAATAATAATAATAATACATGTAAAATTCATTTACAGAGTCATTATACAAATAAAACAAAGGAAAACCAAGATCCTTTTAACCTAGTTTAAATTTAAATTGAAACCATCACAATGTATGTCATTGTAAGCACCAGCTACCCATTTTGTTAAATATCTTATTCGTTCAGTCTCTTCACCTGATGCTCTATAATCGGCTATTGCTCGTTCCAAACACACTGACAGATTTTTTAATATCATCTGTAAAATAGAAGTATATGATAAGAATTTAATGGTCATATAAGTTGTATTCTACATTTTTGTGCAGTACTTACTTCTGGCCATTCACGTCTAAATAAAGCAACAGCTTGTTCATTCAAATAGTCAATAGATAAGATGTCTTCTAACAACATATCATTAAGAAACTTTCCCAAATTCAGCCAAACAGCGTCATCAGGAGATTGCAACATCAACATGATATTTCTTGGACAAAGTATTCTTGTCAAAGGCGAATCTAACGTAGACAATTTCAAACAATCTATTTTGTAAACTTTGAATAGTTTATCTCGAACCTCTTCGGTAAACAGATCGTGTCTATAAGATACTAAAAATACATAATTGTTAATTAAATTAAATTCTTTGAAATTAATAATAAGTGAAGATTACAACATGTGATGAGGCTTACTTACTCAAAGATAAACATAAATCAATACTCAATGAGGCCATTATTTTTTCAGATGACGTATTTATATCAGAGCGTTCTGTTAAGCAGATGTATAACTGGTCTAAAAATTGAATTAAAACATCCATAGTCACCAATTTTCCTCTTGTTTCCATCAAATCCCAAATTATTTCCTAGAAGATAAACTATACAATAACAGGCATGTCTAAGTGCGCATATAAACTAATGTTATTTCATAATTAGTTTTTTACTTTGAAACGCTCCAAAATATCCGTTGGGCCTGTTGTATTAAAATTATGACATTTCTTGCTTACAACTACGTCCTCGCTTTCTTTCATATATTTACTCAACTCAGCCTCCATATCTTTAATAAATATTGAACCTCCTGTAATGTGAGATTGAATCCATTGGTCAATTCTTTCCACTGCCATTCTCGTAGCGATTTTTATACACATTTCTTTTACTTGTTCCAAACAATCATCCGATAACAAAGATTCTATAGATTGGCTTATACGCGTTTTACACATTTTCAATATGATTTGATCACTCTTTTCTTTTATATTTTTTGAAGCATTCATTGCCAAAGTATCCATCTCCTTCAATAGAGTACTCTAAAAAAACAAGTACAAAAATATAATACATAACAATAAATGTAAGCAAATAGGAATTGCAAGCAACCTGCAAACATTACCTTAAGATTTTGATTATTTTGATCGATAATACCGTTATATTTTTCATCTAATAAACTTTTCAATGTCACAGAATTATGTTGTCTTTCAATGGGTAATAAACTATTGTAAATATATTTAACGCAGCTTGAAGCAACCCTTTCCGATACATATTCTACTGTTTTTCTAGTTGACATCGGTTGACCATGGAAAAACGCTTCTTCCAGTTGAATCTGTTATAAAAATTTATCGGTTACTAAATACAATAATTTTTACAATAATCTATAGCCATTGGAAAAAATTTATAATATCATATTCACCTCTAAATTCTTTGCGTTGATTTCTTTCATGGGCTTCTGTAACTGACTTGTCACTGGGGTAACATGCCTATGCGAAATACTATTATTCACATTAGAATTTCCCTGTATTAACAAAATATTGAATTCTCTCAAAAATGGGCAACAACTGTACAAAATTCTATTATCAACCATCTCTAGCTTATCCAAAAATAAAGAATGCTTTATTGAAAGAATAGAGCCTTCTGTATCAACAATTGCAGGTTGGTTTTCACACATAAATTTTAGTGTCGTGTGATTGTATTTTGCTTGCCAAAAATAATACAATTCTGTTGGAAAAGTCGGCAATTCGAATAGCCAACCAATGCAAAGTTTTAATAAGACAGTAGTTTGTTGAGTCATTAATTCTTCGGAATCGACAACAGCATGATAATTAGATATTCGATATATGCAGTATACCATTTCTAAGACTTTTTTGTAATAAGGTAATCGAAGTGACGCATAATCCATCATTGATAAATACTCGACAACCCATGGTACCGTTAATGATAATTTTCCTTGAACTACCGCAGTATTTAGACAATAGTGTAGATCGATTTGTGGTAAACACTACAAAAATAATCAGTTAAGTTTAATTAATTATAGAATTACTTTATTAATGATATAATGCACTTATAAACATATACCTTGCTGCGCAGTGCTATTTGAGAAGTCATTAATTTTTTTGGTACACTCGTTTTTGGTATATATGACAATGAAGTTAGATATCCTAAAAATTTAGCAAGTAATCTCAAACTGGAAAGACAGATTCCAAAACTTTGTTTCGTACGTTCGTCAACTTCCGTTTCTAGAACAAAAAAATTAAGTGCCATAACATATTAAAAAACAAAAGATTTTTGTCGAAGATTTATTTTGAGCACAGTGTACACACCTGTATTTTAAACATAATTTTATTTTTAAATCAAACATAGATAGATAGGAATAATGCCTAGCTGTATTTTAGTTTTTAGTTATTTCTCAGATTAAAATAAAAAACGGGAAATTATTTATGATTTTGAAACAGTTTCATTTTACATGTTATCGTTTCATAAATTTAACAATTGATATTATATTTATTAATTTTTTTATATATTATTTTTATTATTACTTCAAAAACTACGTTCACGTGGAACGCTGCAGAGGTACACTAGGTATCTGTACGCATTAGTTTTGGTTTTGGTCTTTGGCATGTAGACAATAATCCTAGTATTATTTGTATTATTGTTTGTATTATATTGAATATTTAATATAATTTAATAATAATATACCTAAATATAATAATAATAATGTAAATAATAATAATGTATATATGTATATACAGTCTATATTAATAATTATTAATTATTATTAATTATTAATTAAAAAATTAATTATTTTTAATATAACGTGGCAGTTGCATAGATGTAATTGAATATATCATAGATCGATAATAAATTAACTTTACAGGGTAATAGCAATTTCCGGATGATATATGTGTGACAACGTTAATTGTGATTCAAATGTTACCTGATTCTTCGATATCACTGGCAGCAAATTGCGTATTATTGAGTTCCATAATTTCATGTACAAAGGTATCTTCAAGATGCTTAAGAAACATAGGATGATAAGTATGTTCTATAAAAGTTTTAAAGAATTCCTGAAAGCCTGGAAATGAAGGCAACGGAACTGGTCCATTTTGTGATAGCGGAGTAATTAATTTTTTGTTTAAATGTGTCAATTTCTCTAAATTCATATCTTTTATATTTTTTAAGAAGCTCATTGTTTCGTCATCTAATATATCTTCCTGCAAGCAATAAATTGTATTGGAAATTCTTTTTAAAATATTTAAAAATAATACTTATAATAAGAATTAAATTAAGAATTTATTAATGATAAATTAATCATAAAACATAAATCATATTAAAACATTTTTACAAGATAAATTAAAAAAAAATCCAACTTCAAAATGTTTTGCAATTTCTCTATGCAGATTAAATAGTGATCCTTCTTATTTTTGCAGTCGGCAAAAATATATCTATTTTACTTAAACATTATGACTTATCATAATATACTATTATTATTTATAAAAATTTTACCTGCTGTCCACTTTGAATACATGATATTAACATTTGAGATTTGAAGAGTCGAGTTAAATGAACAAAGTTAGTAACATCCTCGTGCATCATTAGCATAGATTTTATTTTACCATCCAAATTTCTTCCAAAGTCCCACTTAGGGTTTAAATGATTATCTTCCCAATTTTTTAAGATTTCATAAAATGCATCACGTTGTCTTTTGAAATCAGTAAATGCTTTGTGTGATGGAAAATTTTCAAAATTATCTGTATCTATTTGAAAGCAGACATTTAACTCCACAATGCTGGAATATTATTAACAATATTAAAAATCTTAATGAAAAACGTTAACTATTATGTGAAAATTTTTTTTAATTACCTAACATTTAATGAAAATTTCGTTTTGTTAGCTTCTGAAACTTTTATATCATAAATTGAATCAAGATATTTGCAAAGTTCTGGTTGGAATATAGACATTGAATTATTTCCACAAAGTAGTTTCAAAGTTACTCTGTCTAAACACTTCAAAAAATACTTTTGTAGATTGAGCACTTGAGTTGAAAAATATACACAGTTATGAGGAGAATTAAGATACAACTGCACATAGTCAACAGCCACATCTGGTTCCTTTATGGCTTCTATGTTTTTATGTATGTCATTTTTATTGTTTGTAGTTTGGTCATTATTCATATCAAGTCCATGTAATACTTTATTGATTAAATTAAAATTTTTTTTTGTATCATCTGTATCATCTATCAAAGATGAACATCCAAGTTCAGTAATTGATTTATTGTCACATAGTGAATCATTATTTATTTTATCATTACTACTTAGAGCGTCGTTTTCTTCTAAATCATCAAAATTTAAAACCTTTTTTGATGCTAATAATTCGTTTTTATCATATGTACAGTTTTTCATAGATTCAACACAAGAATGTTGTAATTGCTGTTCTATATTTGTGATTGATAACACCTTAACATTTTTATACTGACTGGTAATTAAATTGATTAGAAAATATAATTCCGTCATCGGATTGAAAACTAAATTATTATCTAAAAATCCACTATATAATTCAGCTAATAAATTCAATGCTTGGATGTTTTCTACTAATGTTTTATCTGGGATAATTGTTGAAATTGATTTCTTCGGAGTACTTAGAAGTATTTTACACTTTGGTTGACTTTGTTCATCTGTTAAATTTGTATTTGAAATAATTTCTGGTTTTCTTTGTCTTTCAATTTTAACCAATCCTCTTTCAAGTTGAAAAGAATCATTGTCAGCTGGTTTATCAATTGGAGGTACATTTACAAATTGTGGATTTTGTGTGAATGGTCTTGATACTTCACCAAAAACTGTATTTTCTTTATCTAATTCAAATAAATAATAAAGACATTGTACATATGTTATAAAATATGAATTATAGTAAGTATATCAATATTATAAAATGTCTATAAAGTATCTAATACACATATTATTTTAGAAAAACAAATTTTAAACTAAATATTAGATAATAGTTATTTGTTTTTACCTTTTATATCAGCATTGCTCATCTTGAGTCGTGTAGGATTGACCTTACGTCTTCTTTTATTCTTTTCTTCTGGATGTGTAGTAGATGTATTAGAAATAACACTGCCTGTATTATCATCATTTTGTTCATCATTTTTACATCGTGATTTTGAATGTGCTTTCTTTGTACTAGATTTTTTTGAATTTAGAGTATCTGTTGTAATAAAATCACTGAGACATAAACTTTGTCGTGGAGTAGCTTTAGAACGTTTTGTTAAATTATTGGGTGAATTTTCAGGTGTACTAGTTATGTGATAAAAATTATTATTAGATGGGCTATTTATTGTTAGATTATTGTTAGATGGGCTATTATGAAATCTGTGTGGATAGATTTTTGAATTTATAGGACTCAACATGGATGTTGAATTACTGTATAGAGGAGATTCAGGACTCTGTAAAATCTTATTATTCATTGAAGTATTAGATCGTGTCGAGACATTTGAGTGAACTAAATCAAAAGATTCATCATTACTCAGATTTTGTGAATAATTAGAAACATTACTGTTTGAATTTCTTCCTCCTAAAGATGGAAAAGAGTTGTCATCAAAACTTATATTTATACTATCTTTTCGGTCAGGACAGTGTTCATATTCTACACTATCTTTGAAAGCAGGATTAATATGTTGATTTTCAGAAGGAACACAACTAATAAGATTAGCTCTTTTTTTGGATGAAGAATTTTTTTTGCCTGTGACAGGAGTACTAGTTCTTGAACTGGTAGTTGACGTTGGATTTTGATACAATGCACTTTTCTTACATTTTGATTTTAACAATTGTGCTTGATCATTGATAATAGAATCTTGTTCAGCTATATTTATTTTCACTTGTTCTTTGAAATCATCCTGGTCATCGAGTGATGATTTGACAAGATTGTTACCAGTTCCTATTCCTTGATTAATGATTTTTATTAAATCATCAGAATGAGATGATTGTCGTGGTATTAAAATTTTCTTTGATGGTGTTTGTTTTGAGCCATTATTACTTTGAAGAACACTGAAATTATTTTCACATGATATTCTAAATATCAATAACATTATTATCAAAAAATTAGTTACCTAATGAATTGTTCTCGTAAATAATTTAAAAAAAAAGATATAAATTCTTCTCGTGGACAACTGCTATTAAAGTCAGCCCATTGTTCCTTCTGAAAATATTAATAAAAGTTTATTTATGAACATGAGAAATCAAGTGTTCAATAATAATAGCTCACATTAAAATCATCAGTTGTTAACCATTCCAAAATTTCTGATGGTGATGTTTTGAAGTTCAATAAGTTACTTAAAAGTTTTTGTGCCATTTTTTCTGGGATAAATTAACGAGATAAAAATAATAAGTTATTTCGTAAAAAATATTTCTCACTTTTTATGTACCAAATTACATTTCGTCAGACTAACATTTCTTTTTATCTCAATATTTGAATCCCGCAATCCAACAATTTAATCTTTAAAAAGACAAATTGTGTAAACGTCATGCTAATTGAAGATCACATATTGAACGTAATTAAACCTCACAAAAAATATTAAAATTGAACGTTGTAATATATTTTGATTCTATAAATACAACGTAGAAGATAGAAGTATGCAGATACATGTATATACACATCTATATTCTTGTCTTGAAATATATTATTCTTGATGGACTAACCTACAGCCTACACATAGCTACTTAGATCTAATTGGTATAGAAGTAGGTATTCGGTAAAATTCTAGTGACATCCGGTTTCAATTCTAGGGAATTACGTTCCAAATATTTCGATATTGGACAACTTATTATTTACTTATTTTTATTTGAATTAAAATATTATGTAATTAGATTAATAAAATAATATCAAATATTTAGTTAAGAAATTAATTATTCTATTTCAGAAATTAATATATTTTTCTTTTTAAGTTGTAATATTCTGTGAAGTTATCAAATATATATAATTCATTAAAACAATTTATTTATTGTAGAACTATTTATGTTTATATAAATAAATTTAGTGCATCAGTAAAATGTTTATGGTGGGTAAAATAAACTTTTATAAGCTTTTGGTTAAAAGAAAAAGTAAATTTTTTAACAAAACATGAGTACGCGTTTAAACTAACATTTGAGTTTTAAATGGTGGATGTATGCATGTTATATATGTGTGTGTGTGTGTGTTATATATTATATATAACGTGTATATATAATGTGTGTTATATGTTATATATTATATAACACACACACAAAACATATATACATATTCGATGATCGAACAACTACATTTGTGTAGATTAGCGTTGGGGTACATTGACTCTACAATGACTTACTACTAAAAATCAGAAGATATTTTTAAAGGTGTAAACATAGCGCTATTTTTTTAATTAACGTGCAGCAATCACATAATTTGTAGAAATGTTTATTTTTAATGATGTTTTTTATTGATACATAAAATTATTTATATGAACATGGTTATCCAATAAATAAATTGATTTAATACGAATTATATTTAATAACTTCACAGAATATTACAATTTAAAAATAGTAATAATTATAGTAATAAAATAATTTATGTCTTAGCTAAATATTTGATATTATTTTACTAATTTAATTCAAAGACAAATATAATATGTAAATAAAAAGTTGTCTAGTATCGAACATTCCCCAAACTCATACCTTCATGCTTGCCACTACAAACATACTGCTATACATGACCACCTACATATTGCATAATGTAAAGATTGATGACCAATAACTCTCCATCACCGATGAATGATGATGCATCACTAATCACTATTCGCTAGATTTACTACTATCAATAGATCCTCGAAATTCAACCAATCGCCATCTCGCTTTTGAACAATCTGCCGCCTGACCATCCTGACTTGACTTACTAAAAGTGTGGTTATTACATGGTTATGGACTTGGGTCTGTTTGTGATATTGTGTCCTGTGTCGTCAAGTAGACAAGCTAAAAGTGAAGAGTGAAGAAAAATATTGCCATCTTCTTATTAGAATTAATAAGTTTTTTTTATCAAAAATACGTTAAAAAATAACAATTTATTAGTTCTTTGTGAATCACACAATTTTTGTAAACAATAACGAAGTTTAATAAAAAAAAGTTCTAACCTATCAAAGTTGTCAAGTGACGATTTTTTTGGTATAAAAGCTACCAAATAAATAAAGATTGGCAACGTGTCATTTATCATAATAGATAAAATGAACAGAAACGCTCTGAATTACTTTCAAACGTTCTTTTTAATAATTTCAGTTAGTACAATTTATATTTATTTAAAAATAAAAAATTGAAGCAAGGAATTACGTTCACATAACTTATATTAATTTTATATATATATTGTCGTAGGTCAATCTAGCAGTAGTATCTACAGAATTCACGGCAGAGGATTGCAAGCTTATAGGATTTAACAAAGCTAATTTATTATGCTCAACATGTGAAAAATTCAAAGACTTTAACCTTGCAGATCTCTATTAGTAAGTATTTCTACAATTTTACACTATTTTAAGCTATCCCTAATATATAATATGAGATATTTGTCAGCACTAGGTGTAAAGAATGTTGCTTAAAAGATGAAGGTGACAGTTCCGCATCAAAGCGTTATCCAAAAGCTGTGCTTGAAGTATGCACTTGTAAATTTGGAGCATATCCCCAAATACAAGGTAAAATATACACATTTATTGTTTGTCTCTACTACGTAAAACATTCTTTTTCAACTCAAAATAAAAGAATAAATTTTCTTGATATAAATATATACATTAAATGTAACAGTGAAACAATTTTTTCCAGCATTTATTAAAAGTGATAGGCCTACTAAATACAAGAATTTACAAATAAGATATGTAAGAGGATTGGATCCAATAATTAAATTGTATGATGCTGAAAATAAAGTAGAAGATGTTCTTGATATCCATAAATGGGACACAGATTCTGTAGATGAATTTCTAGCAACCCATCTCTTAATAGATTAATAATGACAGGGAATTTTGTATAATAAAAATAAATTCAATTTAAGTGTCACATTTATTTACTTTTGTATTACCTTGTACAGAAATACGTGTCTATGTAAATAATGGAATGAAAATAATCCACATTTTTCTAGAACTACATTGTTCAATGCAAATTATTGCATATGGAATAAAATATAAAACGTATTTTATAATGTATATTTAATAAAATTATTTTATTAAGAATTTTCATTTGTAGTTTCTACTAGAAAAAATTTACTTTTGAGAATAACTTTCAATGTAAGCAATACATGCAAAAGTATGCAAAAGTTTAAAGACACTATATACTTATATCAAATTAGTATAACCTATGATTTTATATTTCTTGTATAGTCGTCGAATCCAATTGAAATGATAAAAAATTTAGTCATCCTAATATAAACCAATATTTGGGGTCTTGAACTATAAGAATTGACAAACACATTTTTATTTTTTTATGATTTAAAATTGTGAATGTTTATCGACGGGATCTTCTAGCACGTTGTCCACGCGCACGAACATTCATACCACCACGTACTGGAGTTGGCTGACTGGAGTTTCGTGTAATATTTTGGGGAGTCTTTGCAACTTCTTCTTTCTTCTCCTCCTCCTCCTCTTCCTCTTCCTCCTCTTCATTATCACGACTATCTTCTAAAATATTATCATCATTAAGAGAAATTTCAGGATCATTTTGAGTCTCTTGATTTTCATCTCCAGCATTTTCTTCATCTGTTTCATTGGCTTCAGCGGGATCGTACTTTTCACTTTCTTCTACATTTTTCTCTTCTACATCATTTGTAGAAGCATCTGTTGCATTTTCATCGAGCTTAGGGCGTTTGTTGTCAGGTTCAGCAGCGTCTGTTGGCTCGGTCTGATCATTATCCTACGAAAACGCATTCAACATTGTTTCGTTAATTTTCTAGATTAAGATAAATTATATTATGTACGAAAATTGAATATTTTTTAAGTCTCTCACCTCCTTTTTATCGTGCTCAGTTTTAGCATTTTCAACAGCAGCTTGCAAAGTTTTTATTTCTTGAATGAAACTACGATAATGTGTAATACTTCGCAAATGAGCAGTTAAATCATCTTCAGTGAGCATGAAACGACGACATCTGTCGCAGTGATATCCTGTAACTTCAGCCACTAAAGATTTACCAACTGATAATTGATTTGCTCGACAGTGTTTGTATGATGGAATCTTCAGTTTAGCTTCAACTATTTCAGGAATTTCAGTGATATAGTCAGAAGAATCTGCAGAAACTTCCTCAGGCTTATCAGATTTAGTATCAGTACCAACATCCTTCTCTTCATCTTCTGCAGTACGAATTTCTGATTCTCCTTTACCAAGTTTATCTAGAAATATTTATAAATACTTATTTAGTTCGAATTTGTTAATAAAAATATACAGTTAAAATGTTACCTTTTTTCTTATTTTTCTTTTGCTCTTCACTTTGGACAGCATTTTTCATATGCGCAGGAGTGAGGCAATGCTCATCATACTCAATTCTTGATGGGAATTCCTTAGCACACGGGAAACAACGAGGATGCAAAAATGTTTTGAGCTGTTGATGTTTTTCACTTTTACGATGAGCGGATAAAGTACCGTAAAAATTCAAGTCACACATAGTACAATACTCTCGGACATTCAAATCAACCGAAAGCTGTAAAAAATAGCAGATAAGACTGTAAAAATAGTCAATAATTCTACAAACACTTATATCATAGTCAAATGCTTGCTTACTTTCTTTCCCCGTCGTTTTGAATTATTTAAACTAAGTTCTCGTTGTTCTTCAGCAACTCTCAGTTCATGTCTCATCAACTCTACTTTCAGCTTATAAGACTCATCAAGCTTTTCCATCATCAATTGATGCGCGCGACCTCGAAGATGATTTTCGAAAGACTAAAAATTCATTTCAATATTTGGAGCGTTATTAAGCATTTATTAATAAATATATACGTAATTACTCACAAATCCATCCCACATATGTTTATTACAAACATGGCAGAACATATTGCTGATCGGGACCTCTGAATAACGACTTTCAGCATGTCTGGCAGCAGATTTTTTACCTGTACCTTTATCACCATCTCCTTCTTTATCGCCGCCTTCTTCTTCATTTTTCGCAGATTCATCATCATTTTTATCGGTGGTGAGTTCTTTTTTCTCATCTTTCCATTCACGTTTCTTGGATTCTTCACTTTCCTCATTTTCTTCGCTATTTTTTTTATAAACATCAATGATGTAATTTCAAATTTATAACACTTTTGAGTAATCAAGGTATTTCAATCGTTGAATTGTAAGAATACATTATACTGAAATTATTATAGTTTTGTTTATAATGACACAATGATATTAATTTTAAAGTTGTAAGTGAAGATTATATTTTTCACGAAAATTAAACATATATGCTATGGTAAAAATTTGAAAATCCAATTCAAGCAATACCTTGATAAATAATATTCAGTGGTTCTAAAAAGTTAAAATTTTCATTTTTGCAGTTTCACATCTTTTAATGATAACCAGCATCATTAATATTGTAGCAGCTCTTTTGTAACAAAAATATATCTTGAGTGTGAAACGTACTTTTTATTACGTGTTTAAAAGTAAGAAATTCATTTTCCTTAATAAATCACGATGAATATCGAACGTATCTTTAAAGCACTTCATTTGAGCATTGTACAAAAAATATTCATCAAACAACGTCAAACATATGAGTGCTATTTTTATATACTTTAGTGGATTTCGAATCGAAGATCTTAAGGAGCTACTCTGATGAATGCTCATTGCCTTATCAGTTTAAGAAAGTCTTGAAACAAGACACCGTTTATTTTTTTATCGTCAGAATTGCGAAGATTGCGTAAAACACGTGTAAAGTCAGTGCCATTATAATGTTTCAAATAAAAATCGGATGATTGATAAAAACTGATCACCTACTAATATTAAAAAGATATCAAATGGCATCTACTTCAAGATCATTGGAATTTTTGCTATTTAATCAAATCAATCAATTTAATTTAAAAAATCCGTAAACCCTACTTTAATAATGCAAGTATTGATATATTAAAATATCAATACTCACAGAAAATACTTATTTACTCGTAGATAAAATCTCGAAATATTGATTTTTGAATAAGCTACCGAAGCGATGACAATGTAGGAGTGATTCATGAAAGAATGTTAACTCTTATGCCATAAATTTTATAGTTTATCCAGTGGATAGAGCAGAACTCCGAAGATTTGAGTTTGTTGTTTAAATTATATCATGCATGTAGCGTCGGAAACACTGCTAGAGTCATTGTTTATATTAGTCGAGTTGGGAATCGCTGCTGGATTTTCAAAATTAAAAAGAGTATTTGATTAAATAGGAAAATTTGGTGCATATATAAAGTAGAAACCCGGCAAATCTCCGGCGAAGAAGAAAATGAGAAATATAAGGCTCTCGTTCCATCTCTTGAAACAGTGAAGAGAAGGTGAGAGAACATACTTTGAAGTTTGAAGAAACTTGAGTTCTTGCAACCCTCGAAAAGCTTACCTTAAAGCGACAGGCGCTTCTGCTTTATCATTGGTCTTATCAGAGGTCTTATCCTGCTGTTCCTTTTTGATGCTTTGATTTTGCTTAGAGGCAGTATTGGTTTTAAAAGACTTATCGTTCCGCTGAATTTGGTTTCCATTCTGGCGTTGGTTGCCTGATTGAGTACGAGATTGTAGCGGGCCACGTCGCCCAATAACTCCATCTCGGGGGCGATTGCCCATCTATTAGTATAGGTCAAAACGACCAAACATTTTAATGAGAGGTGTCACATAAGGTACAACCATTCTTTGAATCAGATTTGAATAACTTATATCTCTAAATACAAAGACGATTATACTAAAGAATATAAATAGAAGGTAATAATAGAACCTTCCTGCTCTGCACTCATCGAAGAATGCATATTATGTAAATGGTAAATATTTCCATGTTGATAAAAGAAATAATAAATTAATTGATGTTGCTTATTAGGCCATGATTGAAGGCTGTACTTTGGCTATCGATGGAATTTAAATCTCGTTTTACCAAGAGGTGTTGGTATGATCAGCCATTCAACAATTTTTCTCGTTACTCTCAACCTAGTACAATTTATACTTGGGTACAGATTTGGAAAATTGAAAATAATACATGAAAAAATGATTGAAACATCATCAAAAAATATGAATTATCAACAATACAGAGTTTAGTACGATATTTGATAATCATGTAGAGTAACCTGGAAATAAATGAAATTATGCTCTCCAAAGTAAGATAATATGCCAAATTAATATTGCACAGTAACATCTTCGAAAATACATAATGACAATTTTTATGATTATCCAAGCTTGTAATATCAAGTTTGATGATCGATTCCAACAAAATTTGGTAATGATTAATACACAACTGGAGGAAACATTTTAGCCTTGTTCTATGAGGAAATAAAAGTACCTCACAAATATTCAAAAAAATGAAATAAACTATTGCTAGAGAAAACATAAAACTAAGTTTTCTGAGAAAAAAAAAACCTTTCAAATACAAAACTACTTGTAAGTGCAAGTTTTTTTAAATCTGCATTCAACTTATTTTGATAAATAATTTTACTTGAACAAAAATAGATATTTCCAAGGCTCCAATTCAAAATGTCTATTTGAAAAATGAATGTTATTTAGAATATAGCAATCTATTTAGTTAAAATCATCTACAATTTTATAAATTTATAAACTATATATAATATATAATATATAAATTTAATAAACAAATATTGTTTTTTTAAATTATTGAAGCTATATAAAAGATAAAAAAACATTCCTTATAGAAGTTGAATTATATCACTATTTGTTAATTTCCTGTAAATTTTAGAAAACTAAAAACTGTAGTCAAATGGAATCAAGCTTCTTAGTTTGTCTTATTTAGCCCATCTGAAAAAAATATGTATTAAGTATATATATTTGAAACATACCTTGTTGTAAGGCTGGGGACGTTGATTTTTCATATTTGGACGAATTGAATTTCGATCATTGAATCGTCCTTGGTTGAAATTTTGCTGGTTATTAAAATTTGGTCCAGGGCCACTAAAGTTATTACCTAAGCTCAGCAAAGATGGTGGTACCTTTTAACAAATTCTTATGTAAAGTTGATTTGATATTAAATATTGTCTTCTTGCTTATTTCATACCTGCTGTTGAGGTTCCTGTTGACGTAGCAGATTGGAAAGAAGATTGCTTGCAATGGCTAATTGGGCTTGTGGTGATGATAAATTCAAGTTATTATTGTTAGGAGTTGGCAAAATTCCACGTCCTGGCATCATTCCACCTTCCCAAGGATTCATACCACCTCCACCACCACCACCTCCACCCATATTTCCTCCACCCATGCGTCCTCCTCCTCCTCCACCACCACCACCACCACCTCCTCCTCCTCCCATGTTCCGATTGTTGAAGTTACGATTTCCAAAGTTGTCTCTCTTTATTCCTCGGTTGTAAGACATGATTCTGAAAAATTGAAAACATAATAAACATATTAAAATGTATGCTAAAGACATACTTTTTAAATATATAACAATCTGAATTGCTAAAACCAATAACAAATAATCATTAAACACATATGAATCAGTTTGAAATCTATTAAACCTTCAAGCTTAGAAATAAGTCTAGTATTATGAAAAGCAGAATTAAAAAACTATGTTAGGAGTTATTATTACAAATTAAAGATTAAAAAGAAAAATCGTAGCAAAAATATTACAAATTTTGAAGCAAAAATAGTAACCATTAGAAATGTAGCTGTTCGATCAAAAAAGTTACGTGTCAGAATATTATAAATTGAGACGCCATGCACGCTACGCGTTTCTCCAAGTGCGTCCAAGCCTCCCGGCATGCAATGGAGTGTCTAAGCTTCCCGCTCAGCTTATTATATTTTAATGTTAAAAATATTATATATGCTTTAGAAATCCTGTACACACTTTGTAAATGTAGAATTTAATTACAAAAACAACTTACCCTGCGTTAATTGTTGATTGATCAAAAGCTACCAACTATAGAAGTAGATCCAAATTCTGCGTTCAGTTGCCGGAGTAGAAAGAACGAGAATGGAAAAATGGAGTCGACGGCGCCCTAGTCAAAGCAGAGTGTGTTGGTGGTTGGCATACGGGAAAGCATATACATACACGCGCCTACGCTACTCACACCATTGACAAAATGGCAAAAGTAAAGAGAAGGGGAACAGTCGCCAAGTAGAAACAAGAGACAAAATCAATGATTGGCTGGAATAGTTCGTTCGGACACCGGGTTCCGGATCCGGCTTCAGATTTGATTGTATATAAAACTACAGTTATTAAAACATGTTTTAAAATTTGTAATTGATGCAAGCTACAAAAACAGCTATATTAGATTATTCTCTCTAATGATTTTTAGTATTTTTTATTAAAACTTTTAAAAATCATAACCTATAAATAATAGGGTAAACCTTCCACAGAATTTGAACGTTATTGATTTTTTTATTTATGTATTTAGCATATAATTGTATCATGCAATAACTTTTATAATATGTAAATGCATCAATGAGGATACTTATTATTATAAAAGATTAAAAGTTGTTTTTAATAAATTGTAATGACTACGGATTAATTTGTACTTATACCGATATTAAATTTACATTTATTACCTAATATCGATTTGTTCATAAAAAAATATACTTCTCAATGCAATTTGAAATAAATGAAGACTCACGTATAGCTTTATTATAGTGTTGAAGTTTTTTCATTGTTTGTCATTGTCTATACTGTACCACGTGAATAGAACGTATATCCTCGGACAGTCGAATGTGAACATAATAACAATAAAATTGCACATTATATTAATATTTGTGATTGCAAAATGAATTTACAACATAGAGTTTCATAAATACAACTTGTAACTGTCTTCATAATTTGCTATTATTATTTGTATGTAAGTGATAAACAGTTTTTTTAATAAACTTCTTTAACCTCAAATTTACCGGCATCTAGAACAGAAGTCTGAAACTTTCGAAAATTATTAATGTATGTTAAACATTTAAATTTATAATTTTTACACAGAATTAATTTAGATAATATTTTTAATTGCTCGATTAATTTAAGACAATTAATTAACAAATTAATTTAAGAATAAATCCCATTGTTAAATAATAAAGATTTTAATATCCAAGCTAATTGAATAACCAATTCACTTGAAAAATATATTATACTCATATTTCAGATTAATTAAATAACTTACAATGGCTGCTCCAAAGGGTGCTTCTTGCGGCTTAGATTTTTGTTCAATTCCAAGTCTAAAAGATAGTTTGCACATAGCAAATTCTTCTAGGTAAGTTGAGTATTTTTCTTTCGTACATACTAAAAGTATAATTATAATAATAATTTAATGTAAATATTTGTAGATATCAATTTGTAACCATTCCAATAGTCAATCCTCAATTTAAAAGAGAATTCATTAGCGGGAGTGCTAAAAATCGACCAGGACCATGGGCACGGTCAGATATGATATTGTGTAGCTCAGGTATATTATAACATATAGTAAGAAAAGAAGAATATAGCTCAAAAGTAAATATTTAAGTACTTGTTTAAATTTACTGGTAGATTGGAATACTTTGGTTGTTGGAAAACTTTCACCTCATATATACGTTGACGCTCAAGTGCCTTTTGTAGCCAAAAATAGCGAAGAAGCTTTATCTCAAGAATTAGCACTAGCAACTCACTTGGGATTGTGTGCTATCACTTTTAAGTTAAAAGGAAATTTGGACCAAAATATGAATTTAGCTAGAATAATTTTTGATAAAATTGGTGCAACACCTCATTTTATGGTATGTTTCTTAACTTCACATTTCTATTATAATCTAAATACTTAATCATAAGTATTTTTATTTAAATTAAATCTGGTATTAATTAATTATGTAGACACAAGTGTGGGTACAAATACCAATGGAAAATCCAATGAAACAAGCTTATTCATATAGAGAAGATGTAGACGTAGATAGTATGGAGATTGAAAGTACTTGGCACTGGTGGAATAATTTTAGAGTTGTCTGTGATTATGATAAAAAATTAATTGTCGCCTTAATTGTTAGTCATGATCTTCCAGATCAAAATGAGGTATTAACATTTATTTGAAAGAATTTAAAAAATAGTTATGAGCTCCATAATTGAATATGTATAATTTTGTACATTTTGTAGATTGATAGATGGCTGGGTGAACCTGTAAAATGTTTGATTATACCCACAACAGTATTTATTACCAATAAGAGAGGATTTCCCGTGTTAAGTAAAGCTCATCAAATAATGGTTAAAAAATTCTGTGCATTTGATGTACAATTTGTCATAAGTGGTGCTAATAGACATGAAAATATAGCTATCTATCTTCATTATATTGATCATTTGTGGAAAGTAAGGACCTACATTGATTTTACCAATTCTCAATGTAGATACATATTACATATTACCTAAAAAATTTTTCTGGAACCATTAGGATGATTAATAAAATATGTATTTATTAGAACTGGCAACCTGATGGACCAATTGAACGTTTTGCCCGTGGATTTGAAGATTATCTTCAATGTCCCTTGCAACCATTAATGGATAACTTGGAATCTGGGACTTATGAAGTTTTTGAAAAAGATCCTATAAAATACGCAGAATATCAATCAGCCATTCAGAATGCATTAACAGACTTGGGGTTGAAGAAAAAGCAATTAAATGATAAAGAGCCTATGTATGCTTTGATTATATAATATATACTGTATAAATTTGATTTTGGAATATGTTCAACAATTCTAATTGTTTCTATTTAATTAGCGTTGTTATGGTTGTTGGTGCTGGACGTGGACCGTTAGTTCGTGCTGCTTTGAATGCTTCTATTAATGCAAAACAAAAAATTAAAGTATATGCTGTTGAAAAGAATCCAAATGCAGTTCTGACGTAAGTTCTTAATTTTTGTTTAATAAATGAAAAAATTGAAAACAGCTTCACAGCGTTTATTTCTATTATCAAATAGTTTACAAGCTTTACAACAAGAAATGTGGAAAGACCTTGTTACAATTGTAGCGTGTGATATGCGAGAATGGAATGCACCTGAGAAAAGTGATATTTTAGTTTCGGAGCTATTAGGATCTTTTGGTGACAATGAATTATCTCCAGAATGTTTGGATGGCGTTCAACAGTTTTTAAAAGGTATAAATAGTTAAGAACAAAGATTTCAACAGTTTTTTTGATAGATTGTTTTTTATATAAATAAAAACTATTTCTTAATGCTTGTAGATGACGGGATCAGTATACCGTGTTCATATACTTCTTACATAGCTCCAGTTCAATCACCTAGATTATACAATGAAGTTAGAGGATGTAAAGAGAAAGACAAACACCCATTAGCTCACTTTGAAATGCCTTACGTTGTTCACTTACAGAATAAATATGATATTGATTTGCCACAGCCACTTTTTACCTTTTATCACCCAAATAGAGGTATAAATAATAGTACTACTTTTTATGATTAAATTTTAAATAAATTCCTGATAGTTGACTCGCTTCGTTTTCAGATGCTAAAGTTGATAATTCAAGATATGGCAAAAATACATTTAAGGCAAAACAAGATTGCGTCCTTCATGGATTTTCAGGATATTTTGATGCAGTTTTATACAAAAATATAAAGATTAGTATTGAACCAAGAACTCACAGTCCTAGAATGTTTAGTTGGTTTCCAATTTTCTTTCCAATAAAGGTAAAAAGAAGAAATTACAATTCATATAATTGATTAAATATATTTTTAGATTGTTAATTGTACTTTACCCGAAGGACTAAAAAAACTATTTTATTGTTTTTTGATTATTTATTTTTTAATATTTTGTTGTCTAGGATCCAATAACTTTGAAAGCTAATGACGAAATAGTTAGCCATTTTTGGCGCCGTTGTAATTCAAAGAATGTTTGGTATGAATGGACGATAGAAAAACCAATACCCATTCCAATTCACAACCCTTGTGGAAGGTCTTCTTTAATTGGATTGTAAATAGGAATCTACGGCTCATCTGTGAAATTAATTTCTGGAATTGTACCAATGATTTTTTTATTTTCACACAGTGAAGTTGATCTTTTAAGTTGAATTAACAACGATACCGATTGAACGATAATTTGTTTGTAAAACGACCTTATTTCGTACATTTTTTCCCCTCCAAATGATATATTTATTCAAATTCTTTAAACTACCCTAATTTGAATGAAATACTTGATTAACAGTTTTCTGAAGCTACTATGTTGAATTCGAGGTTGCGAACTTCGTAAAACCTGATAACACGATTTTACGGGTTATCGTTTTACGCATTGCAATATGATCGTTGCGTCGTGACCTATTGACCTGATTTGACGGCTTCAGGCTTATACGAATTAGATGGTTTGTTTTTAATTAATTATGACATCGTAATCAACTTTGTATTTTTTTTCTACAATGATCAACTTTACTATTAACATTTTTTCGTTTCTTCTTGCTTTAATTTGAAATCAAATTATAAAATAAGTTATTTTCTATTCCATAATGTATTAATGAAATATGCGAAGACTTGTAAAACTTTGTCAAGCATTTGAAGGTGCAAAAAGTATTTATTTTACACGAATAACAAAAAAAAATAGTTGATAAATAAATTAGTTCTAAACTAACAGTGAATTGTTTCCCTTTATCTGAATATAATATTCTTAAACTAAATGTATCGTTTCTACTTACTTTAAAAATATAAATTTAGAAACTTTCTACACAAAGAACCATCAAATGTCGGACAATGGACAAAGGACGTGTACCGAGATGATTAATAAGTTAAAAAACAAATTGTTAACATCTGGGTGTGTGATAAAAAAGATACTACTATATAAATATTATTAGTACAATAATATATTATTTGACTATCTTTTTTCATCATAATTAAACGTCTGATGGCCGATGTCCGTCATCGATGTCTCCTTATATAAAAAGTCCCTATATGTTCATCTTAGTTGTTAGAGCAACGTAAAGAAATTAACGTAAGAAAATACGTTATCGTAAAATTGGAGCAAACGAAAAAAATGTCTGTGTGAAGATGAGCGTGTATTTATTAATAGTAAAGAATTAGGAAGAGAACATTGAACGATTAGCTGTGAGATAAAACGCCCCACGGATGCAGACTCAATGCAAAACAAACTGCTATACGGGATATCTCATTGGTCTTGCCTAAGTTACTGAGATTCTTTCTCTCGCTCCATCTTCCACACGTTGTCGATTTTCGTAACATGCGCGCTCTCATTACTTGGCTTCGGCTTGGTCAAAGTACACGCGCCACATCTAGCAGACGACACGCTTTTAAGGTTATAGCTTATAAATCTTCAGAGATTGCACTCACATTTCGACGAGCTGCTTGATATTGTTGCTACATAATAAACAATGGCACGTTTCGTAGCACAAATCAGCAGGTGTGCGGCGAGATCCGTTCTCAGCTTCCCGCACGAAGCAACTTTTGTCGCATCTGCGAAATCCTTCAAACCAGCTAATTTTATACGTCACATTGCCACCACACACCGCTGCAATGCTGGTATGTCTATTTTGTTTCATTTTTCAACATTGACTTTATTCAAAATAATTTTCCGTGCTAATGCTAAACACAAATTTGAATGACAAAGTCGACACATGTTTTTTACTTTTTTTCAACATAGTAACTTGAACTAACTATCGTGACGTGTTCAAATAACACAAACTATAAGAAAACAACGCGCAATATACACAAAAGACAATTTTATCAAGTAAAATATAACTTTGAAATTTCATGAAAATATGAATGAGTGTAACGATTATTTTCGGGAATCTTTCAAGTGTTTCGTTTGTTTATTTTGTACTTGTTGATTCTATTTTCGGCCAAACACGAACGGTACAGTTTTTTTTGGTAAAGTTTGACTCATTACTACTATTATTGATTCTTACCATATATTTGGTATTTTCATTTTTTGCCCTGTCGTGAATAATAAATATAATATTTTATTGTTATTTGCTGGGCTTTCATTCTTTATAAGCATTATTTTTTAATTTCCTAGATTTTGTTACATTTACCAGACAAATAATACATATTTTATTTACACTCGCGAAATAATTAATTCACGTTTCATATGATGGAATATTATGCTTTTTATATCTGTTATTTATCAGAGTCATTGCGAGTTACGAAGTCTTCGAATTAAGACATCGTCCAGAGCGAGTTAGATTTTGTTATCGATGAAAAAAATCGTTATGTAACTCGTTTAAGATTTTGCTTTGTCCAATAACTTTTTTTATGGACTCATAGTGCCGAGCTAAAAAACACGCGTAATAAGTGTTTATTGCTTTTAAAAATGTATGCCATGTATTACGATATTTTTCAATAAAATATGTAACGTAGCATAAACAAAAAAAATGAATATTTCTTCAGTAATCGGACGCGCATGATAGAACTGTGGTTAAAGATTGATAAAAATGATTATCAACATTATAGAAAGGAGGTACACAGACAAACACGAATGGGTGACGGTCGACGGCAAAATCGGCACAGTGGGAATTTCCAACTACGCGCAAGATGCTTTGGGAGACGTTGTCTACGCACAACTTCCAGACGTTGGATCACTCGTGAAAAAAGATGGTAATAAGTCGAGCAAATTGATTGAAGAGGTTAATTAAACCTGTATTAACGTTTATTTATAATTAAGATAATCTATCAAGTGCTCTTAAAATAATCGACTAATTTTTTTGCAATTAGTTATTACAAATATTTCATGCGCAAAAATAAAAAAAAGTTATTTGTTTATTAAGACAATCGAATAATGCTTCATCATTTTTAGAGGAATGTGGCGCTTTGGAGTCAGTTAAAGCAGCTTCTGAAGTGATGAGCCCATGTAGTGGAAAAGTCACTGAAAAAAATGAAGCTGTTGAAAGCAAACCTGCACTGATCAACTCTTCGTGCTACGATGAAGGTTGGCTTTTTAAAATAGAATTAAGTGATCCAGCAGAAGTCAACACTCTTATGGATGAAAATGCCTACAATGAATTCCTTAAAACAGACCCTCACTAAGTATTGTATCGAATGATACAGAAGAAATAAAAAGAGCAAAACTCAAAGAATGCAAACGTAATAAGTCAAAAGATAAATACATAAGGAACACGTAGGTACCCGACATTAAGCACACAAGACATTAAGCATTCAAGGGCATGCACATTTCTATAACTGAAAGCTCGCTTATTAACGCATAACAATCGTCATTGCAGAATAAAAACGACAAGCTTTCAATAAGACAACACTCATGATTTTTTAGATTATCTTTACACTTTTATTGGTATTAAGACACATTTGATTTTCGAAAAACAGTAATTTATAATGTCCTTCTCTGCCTTTCTTTCTATTGGACGTATGTATCTGGAACCTTTAACAAAACTGTATAAAATTGTTATTCTGCTTGGGTCTCACTTTGAGTTATTTCGATTGATACACATGTTTCCACATGTTCTTATTGGTTGCTATACAACTATTTAAATGAAATAACTTTTTCAAACATTTCGAACGTAATTTTTGCGCTTGGAAATTATTTGCCCGATCTGTACACGCGCAAAACATTAAAAATTACTTTATTGTACATATTTATAACAAAATAGTATGATTCGACGTCGTTTCTTACACGGACATGTAATGTTATTTTTTAATATCATTCAAATTATAACGTGAATGTATTTAATCAATGGCCTTTGAGTGCACTCATTTAACTGTTTAAAAATGCTTGATTGCCGATGGAATTAGAAACCACATCATCATAAGTAGTTTTAAGCAATATCGACGTACGATCCAGAAATGTACAAACTTTTTGTAATAAACTTTGTATAATAAATTGTTATTGATCGTTTTTAAGCATGTTCATTTTATCGTTCATGTTATTCAATAGATTTTTTAGTTATCAACATTTTTTTCATTGTGATTAAACGAAAAAGAGTAAGAGTCTAGTAGTTGGTATAATTCTTGGATATTCAATGAGTCGAGGTAGAAATTCATGGCGAGCAACATCATTATTCGTTGAACAAACGAATTTTCTCAAAATTAAATATCTGTATCTTATACTAGATGATAAGTAGATATAAAGTAATTTAAAAATCCATTGAAAAAATACAGTGATTAATTTAAGTTGAATCATGAAGTAATAAAAATGACCTATAATGTTTATGTTATAAGAATTCAAACTTTAGTTTTTGAAAAAATTTTCCAAATGACTCGTGCTCTTTTTCATCGACATAGTTCATTAAATGTTTTTTACCTTTTGAATTGTGCATAGTGATATAATTTATTACTCACAAGAACTTGTCCTTGTTTAGTTAGTAGTCCATCAAGAACGTGTGAATGAGCTTAATTCAATATTAGTAACTTGTACTGCATTATTGCGAGTAATATCTAAATTTTTGATTTGCAAAAATAGATATTGAATTGATTGAATAGATAGTTTATCTTATAATTGTTCAAATTCCTATACTCTATCACATAAAAAACCACTCAACATTGAACATTTTGGAATATTTATGATCAAGGAACGATTTTACAGAGTATGGTGCTATAAAATTAAATTGGAAACGAAAACAATAATTATGTTAATAATAAAGATATATTTACATTCATTAATTTCTTCTTTCTACATAATTTACAATTGCCAGCGTCTAAATGGCAGTGTCAACAACGCATAAGTGTTATAATGTTGATTTTTCTTTGTATACTCAAAATCTATTTCTTGGATTTTTTTAACTTATAATATTTAGAAATTTTATTTCCAGTGTCAAGCAACAAATCATGTTTCAAAAATCAAATTGGAGATTCGTTTGTATTTTAGCGAAATGAAATTATTTGCCGATTGTAATTGGTAACCGTACATTAATATTTAACACAATGTACATAACATAGTAATTATATTATTCACTAGTTACAATTACTGTTAATAAACATATTCATAAACGGAATTCATCGGACGAGTAAATAGGATGGACATGTACAAAGACAATGATTTTCCTTTTTAATTTTTGTTTAGGGCTAAACACTTAAGTGGTAAAAAGACGTCGCCTTTTATTATTTCATTTTGCTTTATAAACAATGGCATTTCGCAATTGGTGTGTACAAAGGTTGTTCCGAAATTGTCAAATCGACATGTTCGTTATTACGATACAATACAGTAATAATGCTTGAGATGAGCAACAACGACCAAAAATAAAAAATAAGGTTTACATTTTTTTAAATTTGTATCATTGAAGCCCGTGAAATCTAAATTAAAAATACAAGGTGTGTACAGAATTGGTCGATGAGAGAGGAAAAATGCATTTGCTACAAAGCGAATATAATAATTAACAGAATTAATCACGGTGAAGGTAACATTGCAGTGACACATAATGGTAGTGATGTATAGTAAAAATAGTGGGATATTTCAGCGTTTTCGCAAAAACGCAAGTTACCAGATGTCAAGTTTTGTTTTGTTTTTGTCTTTTTTTTTTTAATATGATAAAGCAAAACTTTTTTTCTGGGCTCTTTTGTTCTGAGGTATGCGGTTACTAAAATCGTAAAAATATAAAGAAAAAATAACTTAGTACATTAATGAAGAGGTAGTCATTCGTGTCCTTATACAATCGAATGGTAAAAAGAGGGGCATATGGTTAATTAGTGTCGAAGGAATTACAATCGTCAAAGCTGTGTTGCAGATGAAAAACTAAAAACATTTTAGATACATTTTTTAATTTGTAAGACGTATATGAACCAGACGACATGAAAATTTTGGAACTTTGTAATTGCGTATATTCATAAATACGATATTCTAATATTTTTCGTCAATTGAATAAAAGGCTGATTGAGAAACCTCCGCTCACAATATTGCAGGATTTAAAAATCTAGTTTGATCTATTCGTATCCTACTATTTTTCATGTTCGTTCTCATCTCCGAGATACCCGCTACAACGTTACAGTACGTACATTATTTGCAAAATGTGCCAGTAAAGTGATTATAGTAAAATAGTGTTTTTCTTTGTATTTTTACATTTATTACAGTTTTCAGGTACTGTTCGTCTCATAAGTGAAAACAGGTAAACTCGCGCGTTAAAGATTAAAATCTGTACAGGTGTATCATTGCTTTGCGAGCGAGGGTTTCCCTTTTTGCAGTTTTTATTTAATGCTTTCTTTTCTAGCTGTTGCTCTAAGTTCGTATTTTATTTATGTCCTCTTTGTCACGTTTGACCCTCGAAATCTAGCGTTTGTGTGTAATAAAAACTGATGGCTTAGGTACCACAGATGCGCCGCGAAACGACGACCTTCACAGCACTGAAGAATTTCTGACTAACGCCTAAACAATAATATATGTGTATATATATATATATACATATATACATATATATACATATATATATATATACACACACACATATACATATATATAATCTATAAGTGAAAAATAATTATGATCGATGTAGTAATAACTATCCTTAACATATAGTAAATATTTCTCATGTATCTTTAACAACTATAAGACAATATCTTTCTTATCCATATATTTATAATGTATATATATATATATATGCTCATAGACTTTAATAATTATTATTGATTAAACGCTAGATAATATGTAGGACCACATAAACCTTGCTCCAATGATTCGTTTTATTATTTCTTAAACAGAACCTTTATTTTATGGTACAATATACAATAATAAAATATCGCAATCCTTCGATTACTTCGCGCTTATTTTTTGCTTGTTCCGCCACCTATGTTTGAAAGAAAGAGGAAATGAACAGTAAAAACTAGAGAGAAAAAAATAAGAGAAAATTACATAAAAATTAGTAAAGAGAAATAAGAAATTAGTCAAAAACACGTGTTAAGTAGCTAATTAATTTCTTTCACTTCGGTATATAAGCAACAGAAATATATTTTATTATTTTCTCAAGTAAACTATACACAAAAATATTCTGTAATTACATATTTAACATGTTTTTATACTATACAACGTAAATTGGAATGTGTTAACTACTATTTACAAATTTGATAATAATAATAATAATAAAATAATAATAATAAAATAATGTAGCCCTGCTGAGTGCAAGCGTGACAAAAAATGCAGATTTTTATTCTGTTTTCTCATCATCTAATCTGGTAGGAATTTAATCATTGTTAAACTATGCCAGGTTTAGGTGACCAATAACGGCAAGTTGTTGACAACGGTTTGCGTGCATTTAACAATGTAATCCTTAGATGTATGTACATATTATTTTATTTTTCCTTAAATCGTTTATATTCATATGTGTATACATATATCACATTGATTTATTTTGTTGAATTCTGTCACTCTCTTGTATGCCCATTGAATCCCTTGCAGAAGCACGATTGGCCGCGACGTGTTACATCTCGTGTGTACGTGTGTGAGTGTGAGAAAGTGTGGTAATCGAAAGCATTTTTCAATCAGCTTCCAACTGACGCACTAGGATATTTTTTCGTTTAAGTGAGAGCAAGGCTTCAGTGGTATACGCTTAAAAATAAAAAGTTCTTCGCTCGTTTAAGTATTAGAAAAATAGCTTTACTTATTTACACAAAAGTTGCCTGCCCTTTGACCATAATTTTTTGTTTTACCACCCTTTGTACTTTTTTCAAGGCATCTCGCTTACTGTTTCCCTGCGCTTCCTTTATATATTTCTGTAATTCTACTTGTTTCAATTTTTATTTTTTTCGTTCACTCGTTTCAACTATAATCATCATCGCAATCGACGATCTCCAGCCTAAGCACACGACTGGAATCCTGCTAATTGTGTGTTTTTGTATGTATCATTGTCGTACCACGTTAAAACTGTTTTGCACGCATCCTCCTCACGACTCCATAGATACATTTTTAAAAGTTCAACATCAAATATAGAAAATATATATCCTCATATAATTAGTGCTCTACATAATTAGATACACTTTGTTTTATAATACACATACTAGAGGCGCACACGAGGGCACGCGCCGGACCTACACTTGATTTTTAATTTGTTTGCATTTTGTGATTTTGCTTTTTCATCGGTTTTTAGCGTGAGTGGATTCGTTGAACAAGCGCTGGTTACGCTGGCCTTTTTGTTTCCTTCCCTCTCTCTCGCTTAATCGTAATCTTAGTGGCTGTTGGCCTAATTGTCGCCGCGTCTGTGTCATCATCACATTTGTCTCACTCGTCACACCGCGTACGACGTCCCTAAACTTGCGCGGCGAAGGGATGCTCAGCACGGCCGAAGCTTATCCAGCAGCAGCAGCAGCAGCAGCAGCAGCAGCAGCAGCAGCAGCAGTGGCGGCGGCGGCGGCGGCAGCGGCAGCGGCGGCGGTGGCGGCGGCAGCTTTATCGCAGTAATCGCGTTCAGCGGTAGCTTTAACAGCCACCTGATCATTTGTTGCTCGCGTCTTTCTTCATTTCCTTTTGGCGTGCAGCATCTCCATGAGGAGCGTTTGCGTGGGCGCGCCACCGCTGCAATGCTTCTGGTAAAGATGGTCCTCGCCCCTACTCGCCACCACGTGAATGTCTGGTAATACTGCTAGCAACTTGTTGAACTTGTCCTGGGGAGATGAAGAAATGAAGGTTAGCGCAAGTGCAATGGGTTTAGTACTAGTGCCACAGGTATGAGAGCGTCGGCTTACCGGTATCGATGGATAACACGTCAACGTGTAGTCCAAAAGAGCTTGCTGGACCTGCTCGTGACCTTCCTGAACGTGCTTCTTATTAACCAAACCACGAACATCTGCAAAGGGCATTGGAATTAGTCGATCGAACAAGTCGAAGAGGAAAGTAGAGATTGCGCTCGGAACGGCAACTAACCGTGATTGAGAAGCATCAGGAATTTCATACAGATGTAGTCGGATAGGTCAAATTTGAGATCTTGCAGCTTCTGCGAGAGGCTGTTGAAGAGATCGGCGAGGGACGGTACCCCAAGTAGGCCGAGGCAGAGGAGATCAAACTTTTGGCCGTTGTGTAGCGTCGTTTCATCGGGCAGGTTATTGTGTAACCTCTGATGTAGGTGATCCAGCACTAGCATGTCCGACCACGAGTGTTGAAGCAGTTTCATCTGGTCGTCAACCTGCAATCGGCAATCCAGGCGCGTCAATTATTGGCCAACGTCGAAAAGCGCGAGAGTCCAGTTAATAAGCTAAGCGAGACGAGCGATAGAGCGGTCGTTAATCGTCGCTTACGAAATCTTGGCATTTTATACATTTATATTTTTCTTCGCGCGCACGCACACGCGCACGCACACGCACGCGCGTATTAATTGCAATGAACTTTCTACATTAGCGATATAATTCGCACGATATGCACGGCATAATGCGCGCGACTCTTTTACGTAAGCCGTGAGAATTTATAATTATTACTATACGAATATCGCGTTGATATATCGTCAGGGAAAAAACCGGTCAAGCGCTTTTTCGATCACGCCTCGAATTGCACTCTTATCTAATAAAAATGTAGGTCAAGCGTACACGAAATTCCATTGGCAAAAGCTCATCGCGCCGATTTCGCTCGCGAGTATTGTCGAAACTGAAGGAGCGTGCCGAAGAAAGCGCGAGCGCGGGCCGCGAGGCCGGGGGGAACAAAGCCGAGCATCGTCAAAAAAGAAGAGGAAGCGGAGGAGGAGGCGGAGGAGGAGCAGGTTTGGTTGTTGTTAATGAAAAGCGTCCGCGGAGTAGAGGAGCGGTAAGAAGGCGAGAAGCCGCGTCTTTGGGGTAACTGGCGTAACCTAGAAACGTATCTTGTTATGACCTAGATATGAGGCGATGCTTGAAATCATTCAGCGATTGTGCAATGCCGACGCCGCCGCCGCAAGCCGCGAGCAGCGCTGACTGCGGCGCGGTTACCTCACATGCGCGCCGTTCACGCTCCGCACACAGCGACGCGCCACACACTCTCGCTCTCGTCCGTTCACCACCAACAAACGCCAACGGGCACACGCTCGCAGCGACGAGCGCTCTCGGCTGGCTGGCTGGCTGGCTGGCTGGCTGGCTCGCTGGCTCGCTCGCTCGCTCGCGTCCTAGCTCTTTTCCTCCGTGCCCGCTCGAAATGCCGCCGCCGCCGCCGCCGCCGCCGCTGATCTCGTTTGTCGTAAGAGCCGAATAACTCGCCTCGCCGCTTTCCGCAGCTTCCTCGCGACTGCTTTCCGCGCCGGTTGCGCGCCGGTTCGAGCCGAGCTCGCGGCGCGAGCTTTGGAAACGCTCGCTTTCGAAGCGCCTCCTCGGCGCGCGCTGCGGACACCCAATTCGAAAGGTTCTCTCGGCGAGCGAGCGAGCGAGTGTGGATAAGCGCGCGGCCGATCATTTTGAAATTATAAATTATATGCCTCTCTCACAATGTGCCGCGCTTCGCAAGCTTCCACGCGCCGATCGCAATATTCTGCTTGCGTGTCCCAAATCCGATATCGATCCGCGATACGAACGTTGCTTAATTGCGCCAGTGCCACGAGAGCCAGTGGCAAAACTGAAAAATCGTTGGGCCGATGTAGGTCGATGAGAATGCCGTGAATTTTGCGCTTTTTGTCAGCGCGTAATTTTGCAATGAAATTCTTTTCTTTCGCGCTCGCCGACGCGAGCGCCCATTAACATACGCCGCGTAAGTTATGCCGGCCGCTGCTGCTCGCGCGACTCTTGACCCAATTTGTAAATGCCAGTAAATAAACCGTCGATTATATCGCGCTCGCGGGCCAAGAGCAGTGCGTACGCGCGGCCGCCGCCCTCTCGGCGCGGGCGTTCCCGTGCTTTCGGAAATATCGGACCACTCGAATCGATGCTTACCTCGGCCGGCAGCAGGCGCGACAGTAGGCCCGACAGTAGGTCAGTTGTGCGCGCACGACAGCAGCTCGTCCAAGCACAATTCGGCCTCTATGTCGGCGCAAGCAGCGGCGCACAATGCTCGCACTCAACTTTACGCGCGATAATCGCGTTCGAACGCCAGCACAAGCGGCATCTTTGTCGGACAGCACTCTCTCTCTCTCTCTCTCTCTCTCTCTCTCTCTCTCTCTCTCTCTCTCTCTCTCTCTTTGTTTCCCTTATCGCGCGCCCGGAGCCCTATAGAATTCGTCAAATTGATCGACGTACCGGGCGTTCGGCGCTGAATCGACCGATAAATAAGCCGTGGGTGCGAGTGGGTGTGCGAGCGGGCCACGCGAATGTGCACTGCATTAGGAATAACCTGGATTCAGCGACGTTCTGGATTCTAAAAATACGCGACGCCTCTGATTTCCGAGCTGCGCGATTGAAGGGACCCCGTGCATACGAAGACATGCCGCAGCCAGGTGTGCTTGGCGAAGGGCGCGCGTACCTTGAGATCTTTGAAGAAGACGGAATTCCTCGCCCAGTCGACTTGCGAGAAGAGGTTCTGGTCGAGGACCTTGCACATGAGCTCGAAAAGGTCCACCTCGCACTGGTTGTAGGTCTGGTTCTGCAGGAGGCCGAACAGCGAGGCTTGCCACTCGCGATCGTCGACCGACTGTATGAAGTCTCGGATCATGGGACTAGTTTTGATGGACGCGAGGTTGGCACTATTGGCTTGCTGCTGGTTGGGCGCGCTGGGCGCACCGAGGCCGGCCTGGGCGCTGGCGCCGTGATGGGCCGAGAGCCCGGCCTGGTGCAGGTGCCCGAGGTGGGGCGCGGACCCGACGCCGGGCCCGTGGTGCTCGAAGGCGCCGAAGCCCTTGGGACTGGGCGTCGTCGAGTTGGCCGGCCAGAGCTTGTTGTCCAGCGGGTTGGAGCCCGCCGCGCCCTGCATGTGGCCGCCGCTGTTGCTCGTCGCCGAGGACAGCGACGCCTGCGTCGATGGCGCGATCATGTGCTGCTGCCCACTCTGTAGGAACAACGGCAAATCGGCAGCGTTAGTACCTCGGCTGTTCGCGCGCTCGAGGAGCGGCGGCCCAGGCCGAGTGCGGTGCTCGGCGTGGGCCGATCGGATGATACTGACCCCGGAGACGCCGCCGGCCTGAGTGGTCACCAGTCCAGCAGCTACGGCCGCGGGCGATGGCGAGGAGTCGGGCGACGAGGTCAGCGACGAGACTTGAGGTATCTGAATCTCTTGCTTGATGTGAAGGAAGGGCGCGACTGTGTTGGGATAGCTAGTCGGGTCGCCGAGCGTGCCACGGATCGTCTGGAGAGCCAACTGCCGCTGCCTCATCATTTGCAGCTTCCGCGCCCTGTCGCGCTTGTACATCGGTCCAAATTTGTTCCTGCCGCCGCGCATCCTGTCCGCTCGAACCGCTGTAACATCCAAGCAGCAATTTCGCGCGTTAATGGCGCAACGCCGCAACTGCTCGGCGCTGCCTGTCGTTCTTCGAGATTCGGGCAACGGCCGACGGTCGCCCTTCGATGGCGCTCGTGCGCGAAGAGAGGCCGCCCGCGTCGCCGTGCTCGCGAGGACCTTGAAACCGTTCCAAGGCAACCGATAGATAAGCGGGCGCGTTCGTTCCGTCTCGTTTTCGCGCCATTGCCGAGCAGCTCCCCTCTCGCCTCTCCGCACGCGCGCGGACGGCGTGCCGTCGAGTCGTTCGAGCATCCGACGAGCGCATCGCGAGGAAAGCCGAGCCGAGAAAGAAGACCCCCGTCGGCGACGGGGACTCGGGGACGCGACGAAAAAAACCCGAGCCAGCGGGGAAGGGCTTTGAGGAGGAGGGCCCGGGGCCTTGATTTTGACCGGCCGAAAGGCCGAAAGGCGGAAGTGGCGGCTAATCGCTCGGCGAGCCACCTCCACGACACAAAGCTCGCCGCCGCGAACGCACGAACAGACCGACGCTGGCCGAAATTCATCGGAGCGATGCAGCCTCGCTGCCGCGTCGCGCGTCACGCAATCGCGGCAACGCTGATCGGGCCAACGTTCGACAGCGACGACGAGTGCATCTTGAAACGCGTCGAAAGCGCGACGGCACGTCGGCGAGAGCCGAGCGGTGGCATTAACGAAAGAGGCCAGCTCGCCAATGGGCCGCGACCTTATGCACACGCGCGCGCGCGCGCTCGCTCGCACGCAAACGCACAGCGACGACTCGCGGCAGCTAGCGCGAATGTAGGTGAATCGAAACGGCAAACAAAGCCTACCCGCCGAGGGCTCGCCTACGCGCGCACGTGCGAGCGCGCGTCCATTTTCTTTCCTGCCGCGGAGCGACGACGGCCAAGACGATGCTGCCCTCGGGAAAGCCGCGCCAAATCGACCGGACAAAGGCACCGCTTGTGCGGCGTGCAGATAAAACGAGCAATGTCGGCGCCGTGTCGTGACGTCGCGGCGACGTTGCAGTAGGGAGGGGCTCCGATGAATTTCGGCCGACGTCGATCTGTTCCTCTGCTCGTGGCGAGTGTGTATCGACGGCACGGGGGCGCGTGCGCAATAGAAAAAGGAGGAAAGGCGAAGAGCGCGAGACAACGCCGCGCGGCCGGGGCAGAGCGAAGCGGACGGAGTGCCAGCAAAAGCAAGCGGCGGTTGCGCGCAAGTATAATGCTCGTCGAAAGTGAAAGGAGGTTGACTGGCGGAGCGCGCGCGCGCGCACACACACACACACAGCTGCGCGCGTCCAGCGCCGCTCCCCCACCCGGCTCGGCTCGCCGTCGTCCTCTCGCGCGTCCGTGGTGCGGCACCCGCGGATACGCCGTCCTCGTTGCCGGCAGGCCGCTGCGCGCTCCGCGGCATCGCCGTTCGATCGCGGCCGCGAGGCCAGCCGGTGCCAACCTGGCGCGCGCATCCCGGCGAGGAGCTCGCCGCCTCGAGGTTGGACAATGCGCGGCTTTTAAATCGCGCGCGCGCGCTGGAATTCCCCACGTTCGAGTTTTTTACTGGCGCGTTTCTATATTTGTCCCACACACCCATGTGCGCCGGCTGCCATGCCGCCGCAGCCTGTCCCTTTCTCCTTATATTACTTACGCGCCGCTCTCCTACATGGCGACATACGCCGACTCGAGCAACTACTCCGCGCCGTACTTGCTCCCCTTTTCTCCTTGGCCGCAAATACAGCGCCGACATCTCGCCGATGGCTTCTCGTTTTTAGCCGCTCGCGGCCGAATCCTCGGCCACGACGCCACTCGCGGTTCTCGCGGCGCCGGCCGCTGCCAGCGTCTGGCTCGTTCTTTGTTCGCCGGGCAAATGCACTTTGTCACGGTGAGGCTTTATTACGCCTGGCGGTGCCGCCTGCGCTCGCATTAATTAGCCAAGTTTCTCAAATCTCGCTTACCGCGGCGCGAGAGAGCTCCAGCGCTGCCAATGAATAATGCATGCGCGCCAAGAGAGAGAGAGAGAGAGAGAGAGAGAGAGAGAGAGAGCTTGAATGCCGATTCGTACGTGGGACTTTGCGAAAGTAAACGGCACTGCGCGACATTCAAGTCGATCTTGCACTAGCTGCGCTACTCGCGAATGTCCAGCGCCAGAATCCGATACTTGCTCGTGCTTCTCGACTCGGACGTTCGCCGTCCGATCGCACGCGAAAATAACGATCCCTGAATGCCGATTTCACTTCTATCGAGCGCCTGGTCGACAAACGGGAAAGCATTTGGATGCGAGCATCCTTCCACTTGGCCTATCGTGGGCCACGAGCCGCTGGAGTCCGATTGTGTTTGGTGAAAGCGTTATGCCACCTCGGAAAGACAAAAATGGAAGAAAAAAGACAAGCACACAGTCGGTGGAAACAATGCTATCGCGGCACGTTGACAGCGCTAATGAGAATTAAAAGAACTCGGGAGTGGCGCGTGTGCCGCTCGCTTTTAAAGCCGAATGCCGCGCGCGTCGAGCGAGAGGGATCCTCGAGCCGCGCGATCGAACGATCGCCACGGGCGGCTTCCATGCACGCGCGTTCTGCGCCCATTTTTCAATCGGCCCGCAGTTAAAAGCGATCGGCAGTCGTTCTTTCCGCACGACGACGACTGATTTATAATTCGCGCGCGCGCTCGCGTACACGTATTTGGTTTCAAGCGAGCGCAGATTCCGATCGATAATCCACCGTGCGAGCGACAAACGAGTCGCGGCATCGATCTTTCCTCGTGCATCGCGCTGCTGCGCCCAACGAGTCGCGCGCGGAAAAGGCGAGCCCGCGCTGCCGCTCTCGAGATTGGAAAGCGGCGCCGCTCGAGTATTTTCGGCCGTGGGCGTTATCCGAAGCGGCCCGCATCTCCGCGCCGCGCACACGCGGGCCAGGCCGAAAACCCGAGAGTCCGCGGAACGGGATCGACCTGTTGCGCGCAGTCGGCCGTGCGGCAGCCCGGGGGTATCGAGAGCGCGGCGGCGCGCGCGCCAATCGGATCGCGGGTGTCGACACCGACTGCGAAATCGCGCGTTCGCCGGGCGGCGCCGGTGCTCTCGGCCGGCCGAGCGCGGATAGCGCGAGATAAGCCGCGCGGCGCGCGCCCCGAGCGCGGAAGCAGGAACAGCGCTCCGGCTATAATTAAGAGCGGGCGCTCGGCTCGCTGCCGGGCCGCTCGCCGCGCCTCGGCTTCCGAGCAAGATCGCGGCGGCGTCACCGCGAACGCCGAGAATAGCGCGCGCTTGGGAAAACGGCGGCACGGGCGACGGATGGATCGGCCCGCCGCGATTCCGGCCAGCTTTTCTTTGGGCGCAACAAGAGCAGGCCGGTGGAAGTAGAGCGGGCCAGCGGCGCGTTGGAGAATTGGCGAAGCCGAGCGCCGAGCGCCGAGCGCCGAGCGCCGAGCGAAACTTTTCCGGCAGGCCGCGGTGGAAGCCGCGCGCGCGTTGCGTAACGCCGCCCGCGGCGCGCGCTCTCGCGAGCCGGCCCCTCTCCCGTCGGGCCACGCGCGGCCACTCGCCACCGCGCGCGCTCTTGGCCGCGTCTCCACGCCGGGAGCCTGCGCAGCTCGTCCCCGCGAGAGCGAGGGCAACGGGAGCGAGCTTTTACCGGCACCGCCGCGCGCTCGACCTACTCTCCTCCTTTTTTCCCGTTTCGCCGGCGCCCCCAACTTTCCGACGCCCTCGTCGTCGGTCGGCGTCGCTAGGCACGATTTCGGTCGCCGGCCATCCGGACTCGACATAGATCCGTGGAAAGCGCAGCCCTGGCCCGCCGGTCGATTAGCGCGCGCCTCGGCATCCGACCCGCCCGGACGTCGACGCGCCGAGCCATCCCAATTTCACGCGCGACGCTCCCGCGCGCTCTCGCTGTTGTAAAGTTTTCGCCTCGGCGAACATCGGCGCTTCGGCGGCGCTCTTCCAATATTTGAAACCAATAATTGCACGAGTGATAGCTTATCGTAATTTGTAATGTTGACATGCGCGTCTGATAAGCGGCTGTCGCATTTTTGTTTTAGCTGGCTGCTCGCGGGCATTGTTGCTGTAACAGCGTGCGCGTGTATTTCGGCGCAATTCGAATTCAGCGTCAGTGTGTGTCAGTGGCAAACGGGCCAGGCGGCTCGGGTTTCGGCCGAGAAGGGCGCGGAAACGGTATATCCACCGGGGGGCTGGCGCTGCTCCGATAATCGCGCTTGCACAAGGTCGACTTTGTCGGGAGCAGCGGCGTCGGCTCGAGGAAACACGCGTCCAACGGAAGAGAGTCGGGTCGAGTCGCGGAAGCGCGATTAATTCGATCAGAGCCGATCGCGAAGTGGATCGCGAAGGAGCGTCGCCGAGAGCGAAAAGCCGACGACGAAACGCGGCGGCCGGCCGGCGCTGCGCGCGCGTGGCTCGCTCGATTCCTCGTTTTCTCTCTCTCTCTCTCTCTCTCTCTCTCTCTCTCTCTCTCTCTCTCTCTCTCTCTCACCGTCGTGCACGCGCGCGCGTCCCGAACATCCGCTAATGCGCCCGACCGATATTTGTCCCAGAAACATCGAGCGCACGTGGCGCGCGGGAAGAGTGACGGCCCAAGCGAGAGGCCAGAAGGAAAGATCAAACGTGAAATTTATGCGCGTCACGCCGCCGGGACGTAAGCTAATCAAACGTACGACTGGTGGCTTTGTTTAAGGATGAGAAAGTCGCGTAAATAACAAAACGAGAAAGAAGCTGGCAGTAAAAAAGAACGAGTGGCAAGCGCTAGTCAGAAAGCGCGCGGCCAGGAGGCACGTTGAAAAGCCAAACGTGACGTAATTACACACGCCAAATGTGCGCGACTGTGTGTGTGTGTGTGTGTCTGTTGTCGCAAGCCACGCTCAAATTCTACGTGCCGGAACGAAAAAAACATTTTGCCGCGAGAGCATCAAAATTAAATGAGAAACCGTCTGTGATTTATCGTCGAAATTAGTAACAATAATAACAATGGCGGCGGGGGTTATTAGTCGAAATG